CGGGGCCCGGGCCCAGCAACACGGGCGGCCGCCTGTGTTGCAGCTAGAGCCGTACGGGGGGGCGAGGCGGGAGGCGGTGGGGGGTACGGGGCAGCGGGGCCCAGGGCGCAATTCGCCCGCGGAGGCAGGGTTAGCTTCGGCGTCGGGTCGCCCTTAGCGGTGCCCGTGCCGCCGCAGGCATGCTCCTGTGAGGCTGTACCTGCTCTGCGGGACCTACGGGAGCAGCTCCTTCGCCTTGGGAAGGCGGGCCGGCGGCCTGCCGGTAGCTGGTGGTACCGGGCGGGAGCGGCGGCGGGCGGACGGGCGGGCAGCTGGGGTTTTCGGCTCTCTGCGAAGGCTGGCTCCCCGGCTGCTTGGGTGCGAGGGGCTGACAAAGGCGGAGGTAATAGCGGCAAGGAGTAATTCGGTCAGCAGCGGGCAACGCATTCACGGTACTGGGGAATAACTGCTTTCGGGCAGAAGGAACGCACGGCAGAATTCAGGGAGTTGTGTCTCCAAGGGAAAACAAACAACTAAAATCACTGCAGGGTGGTCTTTCTATGGGACATGCTTTCTCCTGTACTTAATAAATCTGTATTTTATTCTCCAGAAATCATGCAGGTTATTCACAACTTGTAGCTTTTGTTCCGTAGGAAATAAGGCTCTGAGGGCTAGTTTATGGGTATGTATCTGTCTCTGCATCTCCCCCAACAGTCTTTAAGAGTAATAATAACTTGCAAGTGTATATTTTTAAATTTTTTAATGAAAAAACACCTTTATACAGTATGGTAGGATTTACAGGTCTTTTTCTCTTTTATCTGTAAAGGTCTTTTCAGGAAAGGCAGGCACAACTATGGAATGAAACTAATGAACGAAGTACTCTGAAAGTGTTTGAAACCAATATTTCCGTAAAACCCCAAACATTCCAGATTGAATTAAATTCAGGTAGTCCCACTAATGCTTTTCAGAAAGAGTCCGTGGCAAAAACCAGACTTTTGAGATCACGGAATCATAGAATGGTTTGGGTTTGAAGGGATGTTAAAGATCACCTAGTTCCAACCCCCTGCCATGGGCAGGGACACCTTCCACTAGACCACGTTGCTCAAAGCCCCATCCAACCTGGCCTTGAACACTTCCAGGGATGGGGCATCCACAGCCTCTCTGGGCAACCTGTTCCAGTGCCTCACCGCCCTCTGTCATTGTTAAAATTGACATTTTTGGCAAGATTGTTGCAAATTTGTTTATATTTTCTTTTTAAGTATATTCTAATTATTGATCACAATTATGTCACTATTTTGTCATCGGATTAAAAACTTACCTGTTTTTCTTTCTTTTTCTGCTTTTGCTTTAAAAAAGAAGCATCAAAGGCCTGGTCTGAAGCTGGACTGCAGCAATACGAACTTGTCAATTAACTTAGACCGGAATCAAATTCTCAATTACAGTTGGTTAGCAATTTTTCTTAAAGTTTCTTTCAGTGAGAAAAAAACTTTTTTGGCAAGTTTCACTGGGAAAGACTTCTCAGCTTCCAGATGGAATTTCTAGTATGAACAAGTGAGATAATCACTCTGAAATAGTCTCACTTGAGATGTGGGAGTTTGAGATTTGTGCTCCTGCTCTGCCTGTTCCAGGCCCTCCCACGTCTTGCAGAAATAGACCAAGGACTGGAATATAAAATTGGTATCTGTTTTTCTAGACAAGTTAAATTTTAACTATTTATCAACCCAAACGCTCCCAAAAAGAGATTGATAGAAAGCCTCTCTGGTTCCTTTTCCTCTACAAAATGTTCTCTGTTTCACGGTAACAGTTTCCCAAGTGCGTTACCAAGTTCCTTATCCCGCGAAGGATTAGTTAAGGTTTTATTCTAAGAGGAAAAGATGTTTGAAAAGGAAGTAAAGTGAACCCTATAATAAGGAACATAAACATTTGGTTAAACTAACAAAAAGCACAGTTACCTGCTGGTCTAAATATTTCATTTCAAGGAGTTGTGCAAAATCAGTACTAACATTACCGTTGTTATCTAAAAATAAGATACCCCTCAACAACAAACTTTATAACCCATGGTATGATGTAATGAAACAACTTTAATCAGAAAGAAAATCATGCTGAGGACATCTCTATACAATTAGCTGAATTGGATTTATAGTCCCTGCACAGCAACAGAACTACCCAAAGGAGACTGTGAAGAACCCAGACTCTTTAGCGGATGGCTCTTCTACCCATCCATGGGCAGCAATATTCATGAATCTGTGTTTAATGTCCTCATACACTTCCTTTCTTTCTCTCCTGTTCTCCTGCAGTCCTCTGTTGTATTCCTGCAGTTACTTGCTACTCCTAATCCTACAACAATTCCACACTTAATCTCTGTCTCCAGATGCCTGCCCAAAGTTTGTATACAACTTTCTAGTTTTCTTCCTGAGGTCTTACCCTCCCAGCAAGATTGCAGGCTCATATGCTGGAAAGCTGTTAAATTTCAAACTACTGGCAAGACAAGTGCCTGTGTATGTGACACTGTAACAGCAAATAATCATGTTTCCTTTTCATTTTATATTGTGGCAACTGTGTTCAGAAACTTTTAATGCAACACTGTCACACATTCTGGATTTTATTGTTGTAACTGATTTAAGCAGTTACATATGCAGTACCCACCCCCCCCGCCCTAGAAATCTGAGTAAAAATGGAATAAGTTACCTTGAATTCTATAGCAAATAGCAGGTTTTAAACCATCAGCTTTGAAAGTGCTATATGACTTCAGGGACGACAGTATGGAAAGGAAATATTTCACATTAATAGTTAACTTCTTTAAGACTCTCTATTCTTATTAAGTAAACAAGACTACAGAGAGAGTACAGCCTTGGCTGTCATAATAAAGACATGGGAGTGTATCAGGCTGTTACAAAAGGCTCTGTTCAACCAAGATTCATCTTGACAACATATGAGTTGGTTCTTGACTTGGCAACGTTTCAGAAAAATCTGGTCTTAGTTATTCAGTAAAAGGCAAGCTGGCAAACCTTGGTGCACTGGTTTAGGGTGTTAAGTCCCCCCAACTTACTACCCTTCCTCAGTGCTAGAAGTTTCTGTTCCTGTAGAAGGGGCAGCGGAACAGAGCATGAGCCTATTCCTCAATCCCCCAGTGCAAAGGCCGACATTTTAAGACAGAGTTTTACAAGCAGTTGTTTTGGCAGCTACTACCAGCTAGTTGTTCATGCCTGTGTCCGTGCTCACTTGTGCTGGTACAAGTGGTGAAACTGGTGAAACAGAGTTAAATCACCCAGAGAGAAAAAAAAACATTAAGAATGGCTGAACTGGAACACAGCTGGGAGCCCTTCCCTAGGCGGCAAGGCTGGCTTAACAGGTTCCCAGCCTCCACTGCTTGTTCTGACTCCCACACTGTTAGCTGCCCCCTCAGTTGTCATATGGATGTCTATGCAACTTGTGATCACGGAAGCAGTCTCAGTTACACATACAAATATATCTCAACCCCCTCCAATATGTATTTTTTAATTCTGGCCCATTTCAGGGACCCAGTTCATCATCTGGCCCCAAAATAATTGTGCTGGTAACCCTGCTGGGGGAATTACGAGGTGGGTGAAAGGGCTGGGGATAGGAAAATGGCCACATTGTAAAGTGGCAAGGGAGCTCAGACAAAGCAAAATACCGCTTATTTTTGGACATCATTATGGAGAACAACAGTAAGCAATCTCCACCCAAGGCCAGTCTACAATACACGACTCCCCTCCTGCGGGGCCTGTTCCAAGAAGGCTCGCTCCACAACCTGCAGTGCTGCCCCGATGCGTGCCAGAATCTGCTATCAGCCCGTCACCAGAAAGGGAGTGCCCTTCTCGAAAATTTGCAGTTCTGTAAAACTGTCTGGTCTTTACTTGGTAATTTCGTTCAGCCAGGTCAAAAACCAGGCTATGTACTTTCCCTCAGGCAGGCGTGTTTTTCCAGAAAAGTTTATGACTTAGGGAACTGACTGACACAGTAAGAAAATTTGGCCATGGGTACAAACTGGCCCTGAATATGTGTAGGCTGGAAATTAGAATAAAATTGCTAGTACTCAGGCCAGTGAGGAGGGGGAATAACCACTCGAGCATTAATAAAGGCGAAAACCTAATGACTTCTAAGTTAGAGCATGGTTATGAAAGGAATTACATGACAGCAGGGCCTCTGAGGTTTGTTTCTCCCTACACCCTTCAAGGAATGTTCAGAAAGGCGCGTGTGACTTCCTACAACGCGACACTGCCCTAACGGGAGGTCCTGGAAACGGTGTGAAGAACCGTGCCTTTGCCAGGGAGAGAAAGAAAAAAGGCTACACGATGCAAACTCGTGGCTTTTAAAATTTGAAGCCGGAGCACGGATCTATGTGGTTCAGGCTTCCAGCGTACATGAAAACTGTTGCTCGTCTGTCGACAGACCGTCTGTGGATTCTACGGCTTTTACGGTTAGCAGTCTACCTCGCATGACGTTTACCCACCGAACGCGAACGCGAACGCACGGAGGGACGGGAACGGCCTGTCGGGCTACCGCGAAGGAAGCGCGGGAGCCGCAAGGCCGGCCGCTGCTAACAGCCACCGCACCGGGCGACCCCCCGCCGCCCTCCGAGCTCCGCG